TCTCTTCTGTTTAACACCTGGATTTCCTCCGGTGCTGGTTCTAAGTCCTCTGACTGACTCACAGAACTTCCGAAATGTCCCCTTCCTCCAACCCTCTGGAGCCTGCCCTCCGCCCTGAGCCGCGGTGACCCTAACACCTTCATTAGCGTCAGACACAGGCCAGATGCCAGCCCCCTTCCCGGCACCAACGTGGGGCCCCTTTCACCTCTGCCCCGCCCCACACAGCTGCCCACCGCGATCGGTTCCTCCTCCTCTGACCGCTGGGCTGGGTCTTCAAGCCCTGTCCAAGCTTCTTCCCCTTTAGTGGCACCTTCCTGCAGTTCCGAGGGCCGCTGAGCCCCTGCCGGCCGGCCGGCCTCTGTCACCCACGGTCACGCCCCAAGTATTGCTCCTGGGGGGTTGGCCTTGACCATCCCCAGGCGCGGCGGGTCCTCTGATGGCAGCCGCTTCGTCTTCCCTGTGCCGCCACCGCCCGGGGTCAGCGGCGCCCCGCACGGACTCGGTGCCCGTGAACCGCGGTGGATCTCGTGTGGCGCCCACGCGGACACACCCTTGCTCGCCCATCACCCGCTTGGTCGCATTTGCTTAAGATCCTGAGTTTCCGGACGTGTGGTCCACTGACCGGCAGCACCAGCGTCCCTCGGGAACTTGTTAAAAATGATCATTTTCAGACACCCCTAGGCCTGCTAAATCAAAAACGTCGGGTGGGCCACCCCGAGATGCAGCCATAGAGGTTTCCGTGAATTGTCTGTTCTATTTTCAGGACTTCCTGCCTCCCTACAAAATTTCAGTTCAAAATCAGACCTCAATACATTGCAGTACTTCATTGCACTTTTTGTCACTAAAAAAGCTTTCTAGGTTCTTTATTGTCCCCTAAGATACAGTCACTGAAGTGCCATTCGACTCTCTTTATGGACCCCATGTCATTTCCAGCCCTGGCTCTGCCTGTGACCACGTTTCTGACGGCCACCAGGCCCTGCCTACTTCAGAACCGAGACTGTGGTGCTCATTCCCAGGGGAACTGACAGACTTTTCCGGGGGGGCGGGGGTGGAATCTTTGGAAATCAGAGAGGCCTGGGTCAGAATCCTGGCTCCCCCGCGTATAAGGTGTACAAATTTAAGAGAGATTCTTAAGCTAAATAAGCATCAACTAAAAATGTTTGTGATAATAGATACTCCATGTATTTATTCAGTTTCTATTAATTAAACACTAATGAAGAAGCGAATATAACCAAATTCTGCGAAAATTATTATCCTAACATTAAACTAACTATAATATGATTGAAGCATTTTGTACAACAAATTGTTACTTGGAAAATTTTGTCAACCCACTGGGCTTGGCATTAAAACATATACTTAATTCAGTAATTATGGGTAACATACATTTTGTCCCTATAAAACTTTTGACTTGAAAGCATTCTTTGTTTTCAATATGGAAAGCCACTGAAATTCTCATTTAAAGTCTCGGCACCACCAGGGGGTCGGCACCATAGAAAGAGAGATTGTGCCTGAGAATGTGGCTCTTTAAATGTAGTCAGAACTTGAAATCTTGCAACTGGGGATTTAAGTGAATATAAATGTTGATTATAAAACACATACAGCGTCTCTAATTACAGGGTATACGTCTTAGAGAGTTGTATGAATGAATGTATTAATTAATTTCTTAAAGCTCCAATTACTGCTTTCTCTTTGCAACTTCCCAAAGAGCAGAGAATCTCATCCCAACAAGTTTCTTACCATGGGCCATGTCGCACAACTTGCCTTTGAAAATGTTATTAAATCTGAACCACCGCACAGTACTGGTAAGATATTTTACCCACATCTCCCTGTGAGGAAACTGAGCTTTAAGGAGCGGTTCTGTCACTAGATCAAAGTGACAAAGCTGCTGGCTGGCACGTGCCACACCTGGGCGCCTTCGCGCTCTGGGCCAGAGCCCCCCCACCCCCGCCCTCGGTGCCTGTGGTCCCGAGGTACCTGTCTCTCCAGGACCTGAGTGTCGCACATCACAGCTCACAATGAGGACGTCCCAGGGTCCCCGCAGGAGCCAGTCACTCAGGCCCTGCCACTCGGACCTCGGACCACGCCCGCAGGCCCCTCTGCACGGGCTTCCCTGGATCCGGTCCCGCCCCCCTGCCCCGGGACCGGCTCAGCACCGATTCCCAGAAATCCAGAAACACGGGCCCCCACAGCAGGCGGAGCGCCTCAAAGCGCCCCTCAAACCAACACTCCTCGTCCTGCCTCTGCCGCGGGATCGGGCATCATCGCCGTGGCTTCCCGGCCCATGTCTCCCTGGTCCCGGCCGCCTGGATGTCGCCGTAAATTACCCTTCACTCACAGAGTCACGAGACATCAAAGGACAAGCGAACGGCGTGGGTCCACTGACTACACCCGTGTCCTGGCTGCACAGCCTCACTCAGGCTCTTCCCACGGGTGGAGGGGTCGCCGTCCGCCCTCCCCAACAACGGCAGGACAGGGGCGCCTACGGGATGGCCCGTTCCACTTCCACCCCCACCCCTGCCCACTAGAGAAGCCCGTCTCTGGTGGACTCTCTTTGTCTTTGGATTCTACCCACTGGATCTCGCTCTCCTCAATGGAAACACAAAGTAGAATAAACCTAGTTCTCTGCTTGTGGAATATATGCAGAGACGTGAACGCAGCGAGAACACGGTGGAGAGCTCAGAGACGGGCTCGTGTACGGGAAAAAATAAGCACACAGTGAATGTGCGCCCACGATCGTTGGCAAAGGGCGGGCTGCTAACAGGTGCTGCTGGCGGAGCCGGAAGGTGACTCACGCAGAAAGACGGGCTCCGTGTCATTGAACGATCTAAATGTAAAATGCAAAACTTCAAGGTTAACTAAAGAAAGCAGGATCTCTGACATAAAAGTAGGACACATCTTCCTAAACAAAACTACAAAATCACAAATCATAGGGTTAAAATATTTTGTTCCATTATGCACACAAGGACAAAGATAAACAAATAACACTTTGGAAGATGTTATCGGCAATGTCTAAAGAGAACATGGGAATAATACCACGAATATACAATGAAATCCTACAAGTCAGTGAGAAGAAGAAACCCCAATGGAAAAATGGATCGAGAACACACAAGAGAAAACCAAGTTCAGGACATAGTTGAACAAATAATTATTTAAATATATTAGTAATCAAAGAAATAAAAATTGAAGCAAGACCTCTCACTTATCTAACAAGCAAGCACGAGGAGGCCAGAGGCACCGAGTTCTGGCGCACAGAAGGGCGTGAGAACGCGGCAACGGCAGACGCGTCGGTGCGGGCGTCCTGGAGGGGGCGCGCTGGCGGTGCGCAGCGAAACCGAGCGCGCACGCGCCGTTTTTCCTGGGGTCCAGAACCGGCGCTGATTCTTACCAAAGCCCACGTGAAAACCTGTGCCCACGGCAGCGACGTTGTGGTGAAGGGGACCTGGGGCAGGTCGTGGGCAAGTCACAGAGACAGGGAGTAAACAGCTTTCTGCGTGTGAGCCACATGGAGCACCACGCAGCGAGAGAAATCACCTCCCAGACAGGGGGGTCTTTCAACACCGAGCATGCGGAGTGAAGAAGTATTTGGAATGATATATAATGATGCCATTTAGATAAATTAAAAATACATAGCACATGGCCAACTCTCAGGACGCCTGTGGAATGAAGCAAGATGGGCGCATGTAGAATAACCTGAGTCACAGGATGGCCACGAATGTGGGCAGGAGAACAGAAACAGCGCTAAAATGTTGGGCAAAGTCAAAATTAAAATGTGGAGCAAAAAATCTTAAAAAAAAAAAAAAAAACAGAAGAGAATGCTGTGTGGACCAGTGATGACGCTAGATACAAACGCGTGTATGAGCTCAACCCTCTGCAGCTGGAGACAAGGCTTACGCGAAGACTCAGCTGTGGCCCCGGCCCAACTCCACATGCTAAGAAGACACCTGTCCCTTTGCCCGAGCTCTTCCTTCGCCACCTCCTATCCTTCCCCCCAACACCCAAGGCCGACGGGGTCTGGGCACCCGCGCTGGCTGACTAACCCACCCAGGCCAGCAGGCCACGGGCGCGCTAACAGCCAGGGGTAGGCGAACATTGCTCGCACATTTTCCTTCCCTTGTAAGAAAAAAGTTTCTTAAAAAGGGCTGATGCTATTCTTACTCCATCTTCCTACCAGGAGCAACAACATGATATTGGCCACGTACAGTGCCCACTTTGCCGCCGTAAGTGTGAGAGTCACACAGCACCCAGAGTGGGGACAGGAAGGGCAGGCCCTGGTCCTCACTGATATCCTTGACTGGCTGCGGGAGCCTCAGCCTGCTCGCCCCAGGAGTTCTGGTTCACATTTCACAAACTGATACAGCGAACATCGTTGCCCCTTCATTACCAAGACTCAAACCAAGCACCCTGTCCCAGACCGGTACGCCGGTCCACCCACCCCCAGCCTGTGTCCTGGCCCTTTCTCCACCTAAAACATACAGCGGTGGGTGTGGGGTTTGTGTTCATGCTTAGCTATAGTGTAATACACGCCTATACCACGGTTCATTAATATGAAAAAGAGCCAATATTGGAGTTCAACCAACAAAAACACATAGGCTTATCCCAAGAAGGTCACAAACTCTCGAGTCAGTGACGGCTCTGATATGAAGAAAACCAGCCTTGTGCGGAAAGGAAGCCTTTTATTAAGAAGCCGCTATTTTTGCTCCATTTTCGTTCACCCCGATTGCACAGCTCTATGCTCACGCAAATAGCCATGGTACAGAGACAGGAAAAAACAAGTAAGAATTCACATTCAAAAAGCGCTCCAAACAAGATCTTCTGTCTCCAGAGATGAGCTAGAACCGCTCGGTCTCCAATGGCAAGTAGCTTTTTGAAGTTAAATCAGGTCCGACAGAGAATACTCATTCTTTGCTTTAGCATGAAATGAGTCGACAGAGCACTTCTCTCGGACTTGGGCTTGAACTTGGAGTGACGATTAGCAGCAAAAGGGCTCTGTGGGAAAATGGCTAGTAGCCACAGCAGCCATAGCCGTAGCCACAGCCGTAGCGGGAGCCATAGCCGCAGCCGTAGCCACAGCCAGAGCCGTAGCCGCAGCCGTAGCCACAGCCATAGCCACAGCCGTAGCGGGAGCCATACCCGCAGCCGTAGCCACAGCCAGAGCCGTACCCGCAGCCGTAGCCGCAGCCGTAGCGGGAGCCATACCCGCAGCCGTAGCCACAGCCAGAGCCGTACCCGCAGCCGTAGCCGTAGCGGGGCCATAGCCGCAGCCGTAGCCGCGGCCGTAGCCGCAGCCAGAGCCGTAGCCGCAGCCGTAGCCGCAGCCCCCGTAGTAGCTGCCACACATGGTGTCAGGAGGTGAGGTTCCAGGGGAGGTACAGGAGGGTGCTTCTGAGGTCTGAGTACCACCTGCTCTGCCCGCGCCTTTATATACCTCCCGGGCTGGGTGGGTCGGGCCCCACGTGGTCTCTGTTCCCTTGTTTTATGACAGTTTGCCTCAAATGAGCTCATTCCCGGCCCAGCGCCTGGTTAGGAGGTCATGAGTTTTTCACGGCTCTCCCAGGCATCTCCTCACGCCTCCAAGCAGAAGGAAGACATACTTCCGCGCCCCCGAGCTCACGCGGCCCTAATTTTATCTTCTGTAATTGCACTAAGTGGCCGTGACATAACATGTGACCAGAATCCATAGGACCTATAAACATATGTTTATGGCTTTGCTCTTTCAACACCTTAGAAATTTTCTATTAAATATGAACTCCTACTCACTGCTGTTAATATCCTCTTCATCATCATCATCATACCATCTTGGCATTTTTCCTCCTTTCCTAATATTTGGGATTTTTTCATCACAATTGTTCTTAAAGAGCTTTTCACGGCTTTTGGACAAGGAGTTGAGTTTCTCGACATGTTGTGTGCACTCCTTGAAACAGTCTTCTCTCTGCAGGAAAATGTGTGCACCCCCTGCCTTTCCACTCAGGTTAGGACACTTCCGCCTTAGGAGCAAAAATGTTTGTTAGACTGCTGATGGATAAGTTATGTAATATTTATTATTGATTATTTAAATACAAAGGACAAGCTTTCCCCAGAACGTCAGGCGAGAGTGAGACACAGCCTTGGGCTGACGAGCCTTTGTTGCAGCCCGGCCGTACCGCAGGCGCGTCTGTGCGGGGTCCTCGCGGACCGGCCTCCTGGGTGCCCCGTGTGTGTGCCCCTGCCGCACGCAGCCGCCACTGCTCCCACGTCCGGGCTCTGCCACGCTGCCTTTATTCTCACCTGTGTCCTACCACCAGCGGTGCTTCAGTAAAGATATTCACGTATGCAACCTTTGCTGGAAACCTTGCAATCGTGACGTGAACAATAGACGATGTTCCTTGGTGTTGGCTATCCGTCCTTGCTTCTCACTCACAACCCTGTTTCCCGGGGTTTCCCTGAGGAGCAGGTTTGTGCCCCGCGGTGTCTCCGGCGTGGACTAATCCTCCTTTACTTTTCCCTAAATGCGGGGCACCTCGGGCTCCTTTGTTCCCCGCCTCTGCTTCCCCCCTTGCGCGCCAGCATGGAACTAGAGGCCTCTGCATCTGCCTGAGGCCAGTCAGGAGACAGGAGCACAGTCAGTAAGCAGGAGAGCTTAATACAAAAATTACTGAATTACGATACGAGGATAACTATACGGTATGAGGAGGCTTCAGAGGGGATGCTGAGGATGGGGAAGACAAGACTGAGGAGGCGTAGCTCCGTGTCCGGGGCGGCAGAGGTGGGCTGGTTCGGCCAGCTGTGAACAGGCCACAGCCGGACCCCCGGGGCACGGACGGCAAGCAAACCGTGAGCCTGGCCATGGAGACGTGTCGGGGGCCTGGCGTGGCTGCGGCAACGAGGCGGGGCAGCCCTGGCTGCGGGGCTCGCTTGGTTGGAGTGTCCTTCCATATGCTGATGGGTCACCGGTTTGACTCCTAGTCAGGGCACTATGTGTGTGCTATGGTTTTATGTGTGTGTGTCTTAATTAACATTTTTTGTAATGACTTTTCAGAAGTGACTCAACTCCCCTAGAAAATGAACTATTACGTGTGTTGAAAATGCACCTTGCCTCAAGCATTTTCAACAGTAATATCGCTGTAAAAATGCAGAATTAAGCAGTAAGTGCTAAGGCTTGGCTTCAGGGCTCATTTTGAAGCCCAGCCGTCGTGAACAAACTGGAGTGACAAGCACCTGACTTAGACACAGGCCGCGTGTCTGATGGACACAGGCCCTGCCTGCCGAGAGTGCCACGGGGCGCCACGGAAACGACAGTCAGCCCGCCCGGGGGCGAGCATGCGCTGCTGAAGGTCCCCACGGAGCTGGCCCGGCCCCCACTCCGAGGGCTCGCTCCGAAGGTGCCAGAGAGCCGCGCGGGAAGCCGTTTTCTCTTTTCCCTCTTCCCCTCCGACGTCAAGTCAGTGGGAGTCAGGGTGAGGTTTGGTCCGACCCCCGCGACCAGGCGGCACTCTCTGCCTGGCAGATGCTTGACCCACTGGGAAACAATCCCACGGCCCGTGTTCGTGTGTGAGCCTCTCAACCACTCAACGGAGCCGGCGGCTCCCAGCTCTGCACGTCGCCTTGCAGAGGTGGGGGCTCAGAGGGGCCGTTTCCACAGTGAGGTTGCATCTCCAAACTTCCTTGGTCTGATGCAGGATCTATACTATGTCTCCAAAGATAAGCCAGTGGCCTGTCCTCGAATATTTTCAGTGTCGGGGGCTCTCCATTTCTTGTTTTACACGATCCTGCTTCATTGTACGACCTCTCTTCGTGAGCACTTTCCACGCGGCTCCGCGCCCTCCAGATGCCCAGCAGGGAGGCTCCCCAGGACTCAGGATCCCGCCACACTTCTTCCTCTGAGTGTCCCCAGGGCCCCAGGAAGCCTCTGGCGGCCTTTGCTTCTGGGGACAGTTCTGCCCCGCCTTCCTGCGGGCTCAGCGGCTGCCCACGCCGCAGCCTCGCCTGGCGGAGACGGTTGCTGTCCCCTCGCTCCAGCCCCTCTCCCGTCTCTTCCGCAGCACAGGAGGGGCAGCGTATGCGCGTCACCTCTGACCACCTCCCAAACCTATCAAAAGTTGTTTCTTTCACTGTCTTCCTACTGTTTCTGAGAACATTGCCACTTTTTCAGGGACTCTCGCTCTATGCCTTGAGGCCATTGTTTAAATTTTAGGATCAACTGTTTAAAATTAGAGAAAAGTATCCCGGCAGACAGATCTGTCTGTCCCCTGTGTGTGTACGTGTCCTCATGAAACCAGAACAGGCAGGAGTGACGCCCGTGCTCAGGCACCCTCCCGATGGATCGCCCCTTCCGGCACCAAAATCCAGTTTTGGCCATTATGTTAGTAAAACTGTCAAAGATTGAAAAGATAAACTTGCTATCATTTCAAACTTGTTCCTCTAATTCTGGCTCCTGGAATTCCCAGGAGACCCACACTAATCTGTCTTCTAGGAAACGATGATTTAAGTGCGTATGTATGCGGTGCGGGGACAGCGCCCTTTACGCAAAGCGCTCCCAGGAACACGCTTCTGGGAGCCCCTCGCCCATCTCCTCCTCTGCCCTCCTCACTCTTGGAGCCGCGCCTGCCACTCCTGGGTCCAGGCCACATGACAGGCGAGTCCGACATCCTCTAAACCAAACGCCCTTCCTCCCCATCCCATCTGCACACGGAAAGGGTCTGACTCTGTGTTTGTAGTGGACACAAAACATGATAAAGGAGCAGAAAAAGAATGAAGAAGCTGCAGGCACAGGAAGAACTGGCTGGATAAACCAATAAATATCTTAAAATCCAAGCACCCAAGCTTAGCTCCGTCTGACCTAAAGCAACTGGGCCCTACCTGCCTCGCCCGCCCTGCTGTCCGGTCACACAGACCCCCCCTCCGCCCCCGAGCACACTGAGCCTCAGCGCCGGGAGCCTCCGCCGGAGCGCGCTTCCCGCCCCGGGCGCCCGTGTGATTCAGCTGTTCCTTCCTCAGGCACGTACTCCGATCTTCCCGCCTGCAACAGCACCGTGTGGTTTCTTTAATTAAACGTGCCTTTTTAGAGCAGGGGTTTTTTTGGTTGGTTGGTTGGTTGGTTGGTTGGTTGGTTAGTTGGTTGGTTGGTTTATAGAGAGAGGGGAAAGAAAAGGGAGAGAAACATCACTGTGAGAGAGAAAAACCAACGGGCTGCCTCTGTTACACGCCCTGACCAGGGACTGAAGCCACAACCCAGGCCTGTGCCCTGACTGGCGACTGAACTGGTGACCTTTCAGTTTGAGGGACAACGCTCAACCCACTGAGCCACGCCAGCTAGAGCTAGAGCAGTTTCACCTTCACAGCAAAACTGGGCAGAAAGTGGGGTTTTTCTGCATGCCCCTCCCCCACCCAGGCATAGCTGTCCCCGTCAGCAACACACTGCGCCGAGCAGCACGTTTGTGCCACTTTCATAGGCATGTTTGCCGTCCATATAAAATCTTCTTTAGTGAGGTGTTAAGGTCTTTGGCCATTTTTTAATTGGGTGGTTTGTCCTCTTATTGCCGAGTTTTAAGAGTTCTTTCCATAATTTTTCCCATATCGGGCATGCCTTTTGCGAATATTCTCTCCCAGGTTGTGACTTGTCCTCTCGCTCTCTTGGCAGCATCTCTCACAGAGCAGGAGCTTTTAATTTTAATGAAGCCCAGCTTACCTGCTCTTTCCTTCATAGGTCACGTCTTTGGTTCGCATCAAAAAGCCATCGACAAACTCAATATTATCTAGAACTTTTCCTGCGTTACCTTCTAGAAATTTTGTAATTTTGCATTGTACATTTAGGTCTGTGACCCACTTTTGCGTTAATTTTCTAAAGGGAACAAGGTCTGTTTCCAGGTTCCATGTATTGCAGGGAGACATCCAGTTGTCCCAGCGCCATTTGTTGCAAAGACCGTCTTTTCTTCATTTTATTCCCTTTGCTCCTTTCTCAAAGGTCAGTTGGCTGTGTGCCCGTGAGTGTACTTCCGGTTTCCCTGTTCGGCCTCATTGACCCATTTGTTTATCCCCGACCCCCCGGGGTGATGGCCGCAGTTACAGTGAGACTTGCGACCGTGCCGCGCGGCCCTCCGACTTGTTCTTCTCCTTCGACACAGTGCCGGCCGCTTTCAGGGTCTTCGCTTCCGCGCACCTTTAGAATCTACTGGTCAACCTTCAGAAAATCACTGCTGGGATTTTGACTGGAATCGCTCTGAATCTATAGATGGAGGTAGGAAGAAAAACTGACATCTCCACAATATGGAGCCTTGCTACCTGTGAACGAGAAAGGATCTCTCTCATTTTTCTTTTATTTTTTTTTTCAGTTCTTCCTTGATTTCTTTAACAGAGTTTGTAGGGGTTTGTTTTTTGTTGGTTTTTTTTTCATATAGACCTTGTACATATGTTTTAGACTTATATCAAAGTATTACATTTTCAGGGCTGCTATTTTAAGTGGTAATATGCTTTAAATTTCAAATTCCACATGTTCAGTGTTGAGATGCAGAAAATCAGGTGACTTGTGCCTATTAACCTTATATACTCAACCTTGTTATAATCTCTTACTGTTTCAGGAGGGTATGTTTGCAGACTTGTATTTTCTAAATAAGCAGTCATGCCGTCTGTAGGAAAAGACAGTTTTATTTCTTCTTTTCCTGCCATTGTGACTTGCGTCCCCCGCCATCAGCACAGACGCCCGGGACGGTGCTGAGATGCGCCACGGGGGCAGCCGCCTCCCCCTCATCTCAGCAAGAAGCGCCGGCATCTCATGCTGAGCGTCTTGTTAGCCTCAGGGGCGCGTGCGTGGCCTGTCTCAGGTTGAGAAAGAGCCACTCTACTCCCAGCTCTTGAGAGAGGTTTTCATGAATGGGTTTTGGATTTTGCCGAATTCTTGTTCTGCATCTACTGACACGGTTGTGTGATTTTTCTTCTTTAGGCTGTTGATGTGGCACATGACGCTGACCGGTTCTGGGGGGTTAAACCAGCCTTGCACCTGGGACAAATCCCACTCAGTGATGGCACGTAGCGCTTTGTATCCATAGTGGGACTCAACTTTATAGCATTTTGTTGAGAATTTTTACACAAACATTCATTTCAGATACTGGTCTGTGGCTTTCTTTTCTTGCAGTATCTTTATCTGGTATCGGTATTAAGGTAATGTTGACCTCATAGAACAAGTTAGTATTTCTTTATTCTATCTTCTGGAAGTGATTGTGGAGAATTGGTGTAACTTCTTTCATAAAAGTTTGTAGAATTTACCAGTGAACTCATTATGGTTTGATGCCTGCTATCTGTTTGGGAGTACTAATTGTTGATTCAATCTCTTAATAATTATAGTCCTATTAAGATTTTCTATTTCTTCTTGTGGTTTTGGTAGACCATGTGATTTTTTTATAGCAAGTAACTGTTTATTGTTTATAATTCTGTTCCTTTATTTTTTATATAGTCTTATAGATGTCTGATTTGTTTTTTAAACTTTTGTCTTACTTCCCCACTAAAATATGCCCTCTTTGAATACAAAGATAATTATTCTTGTTCAACGTTGCATTAAAGCCCACCATGGAAACCCAAGGAGATGTAAATAAATGCAAAGATGTATCATGTTCATGGATTGGAAGACTCAGTATTGTTAAGAAGTCTGTTTTCCCAAAATTAATCTATATTCAACCCAATCCCAATTGTAATTTCAGCACTTTTTTAATGTTTAGACACCAAAAGGCTAAAATAGCCAAAATAATTTTGAAAAGGAGCATTACAGTACCCGCATTACCCAGTATCAAGATTCACTACAACCCTGCAGTAGAGAAACCACGTGCTGCCAGGGTCGGGGGTACACGCAGCCAGCGAAGGAACAGCCCGCCCGCGGCCCGGCTAACAGGGCGGCGGCTCCGCCGAGAGGCCGCGAGAATGGGCATCGCGGCGATCCTGGCGCCCGGGGCACAAGCGCATTTGTTTATTGAAAAGATATAATTTTCCCAATTTCGGAGTAATTCATGCCCATGGACAATACAAAACCATACAGAATGGAATAACCAAAAATTTATATTTTGAACATAATCAGAATCAAATCTTCTGTCTTTGGGTCACATAATGGAAGGATTCCCAACTCCTCAAAATGAACAGATTCTCTAAAGTGAATAAAGATGGTATCCAATCCTTACAAGATTGTAGAGATGATAAAATGGGGTATCCTTTGGAGGAAAAGCGTTAATTTTTAAATATTATGTTAGAGGCACAGGATGCTGCTGTAAGATGGTGTTCTAACAGCAAAAGGAGTAGCATCTTCTGTAGCAAAATGGTCGGAAGGCACAGCAGCCACAGCCGTAGCCGCAGCCGCAGCCGCAGCCGCGGGAGTTCCCGTAGTAGTTGCAGCACATGCCGGCGGAGCGTGAGGTTTCGGGGCAGCTGCAGGAGGTGCGCCTGAAGTCTGAGTGTCACCCACGACCCTGGGAGCTTTATATACTGACAGGAGGGCCGGGGAACGCCAGTCCTCTGGTGGCTCACGTCACAGACGTTTATTTATTGCCCCGAACGTGCAGGTCACGCCTGTCAGTTGATAGTGAGAGGACTTGGTTTTTCCAGACCTAGCAGCTGCCTTAAATGACCCTTAGTAAAGAGTCTCCACTGTTTCCTGGAGAACTGTGCTTGCTTTTTGTCACCTGGGCATTGTCTTGAACCAATCGCATATCTATGCGGTGAGTGCCCTTCAATTATCCAGTTATTTGAACACGTGATCCCCGACCTGTGTTTCAGAGAACGAGGCTCCGCGAAGGGGAGGGAAGCTCGTGTCTGGAAGGAAACTTCTCCAATGAGCCTGACTGCTTCCTTGACTGGCCGGCTGCACGCGAAGTGCCTCGCAGGTTATTTCATTGGAACACAACGCCGCTCTGCACAGAGACCTCGACGCTTCACGTCACGGACTCCCTGTGACTCCAAGCGCAGGGGTAAATAGGGTTCCGATGACAGATCCTCACCCCGGGGGTCACCCCTCAGTGACTTCTTACAATTCTAGGTGATCATTTACTTAGCACCAAAATAACACAAAAAATAACTTTTATTAGAACACTATTGAATGTTTTTTAAACCATAAATTTCAGAGATTTTAATCTCTTTGATCACAATGAAAGTGTAAAAGCAGTAGGTATCTTACAATATGGAAATGAGGTTATAAAAGGTGAGGACACCTAAAAGTTTCACGGCTGACACGCGACCAAGACCCAGCGTTTGTTCCTCTTTGCGACGCGGCCCGAAGCCCCGCTTTCTGACCCCGGGGCCTTGGGCGCGGGAGCGACCAGGAGCCTGCGGTCCCTTACGGGGCCCTGTCACTGTGTGATCGCTGTGTCCAAGGCCCCACGTGCTGCGGAGTCCCTCCGTGTTCCCAGAGTCGTTCTGGGTCCTGGATGAAATGTACTTCCGTGCATTGCTGACAAGCCACTGTCACGAGTGCAAGTTTGTGATACAGTCTTTCCCATAAGTCCCATCCCCCAGGAAAACTAGAGGTCAAACGCCTGCGGAGCGGCCCGGCACCGGGGAACGGACGGGAGTCACTCACAGCCGCTACGCTATGCACTCGGCCTTCCCTGAATGCAGGTTCACTCAAAGCAGAACATCAACGTACAGTAATATCCTACTCACACTCCAACAATCTAAGAGAAATGTAACACATACACAGCAATCGATGGGGGATAGCGAAGCCGAGTCCCAGGGTCTCGGTCTGCAGGTCCGGGAGTCAGCACGGTGGGCAAGGGAGTCGTCCGCATCCTGCGCGGAAGGGTCTCCGGGGCCGGGGGGGCAGCAGGGCAGGCGAAGTCCTCGTCCAGCAGGGCAGCGCCTCCGGCAGCCGAGGCCCAGGGAGATCGGCGTGGCGCGGAGCTCGGCTGTCCCAGCGGCGGCCTGGAGCCTGGTTGTACCTGGAAAGTGGTGTGCTCCACCCGCTGGGTCTTCTTAATAAATGTCCTCGCCCCCCGGTGCCAAGTGGGCACTTTCCCGCAGGCCCCCGGTGCTCTCTGTCCCCTTTTGCTATCAATGCTGCCACCCACTCGCAGGCTCCCCCGGCCAGGCCAGGTCACTGCGACGCCTCCCTCCGGCCTCCTGCCTGCCCACATGGCCACCGGCGGCAGGTGCTGCACGCAGGCCCCTCTGAGGCGTCTGACTGCGTGCGTGTGTGCGCACACAAAGGTGCGCGGGGGGTGAGTGCTGGCCGATGTGGGAAGGAAGGAACGGGGACCCAGGGTGGTGGGTCACTGACACTGGAGAACAAACCCCTGAGGACAATGGGTTAAAAACAAAACGTTCAGCCAGAAGAACCCATTTTCCAGACATGAAATCCCAGGTGTGTAACGTCCAGTATGTGACCAGTGGGAAAGGAAAACAGATGCACGCGATTGGAATGGACAGCTGAGCGTCAGCCTGCTGCCTTCTGAGGGGGTCACAGAAATAGAAGACAAAGTGTAAGCCAGTAGCATGTCCGATACAAAAGATACGTGAGCATGTTAGGACCAAGGAAACGCGTTTATTTGGAAAGTGTCACACAGAAAGAGAAGGCAGTGGGTTTGCACAGGAACTAGGACCGGAACGAGGTCTTCTGCCCCCAGGGATATCGGGGGCTGACTCAGGCGCCTTGGTAACAGCAGGGACTTTCCAGAAGACGACCAGCTTTCTGAGCCTCTGCTCTCTATTCTGTGTGATCTGATGTCCTTGGGAGACATGGAAGCAGAACAGGTCTTGGAACGATCATTTTAGGGGAAAGGGTAAGAGTTGAGCAGTTACAGCCTAGCAGCAAGAATAACATCTTCTATAGAAAAACGGCCGGTAGCCACAGCCGTAGCCACAGCCGTAGCCAGAGCCATATCCAGAGCCGTAGCCACAGCCGTATCCAGAGCCGTAGCCACAGCCGTAGCCACAGCCGTAGCCACAGCCGTAGCCAGAGCCATAGCCACAGCCGTAGCCAGAGCCGTAGCCACAGCCGTAGCCACAGCCGTATCTAGAGCCGCAGCCGTAGCCGCAGCCGCCGCATGACTTCCTGGAGTAGTGGCAGCACATGGTGTCTTGTGTGGAGACGGTTCAGCGGCTCAGGAGAGGAGCAGGTGCAGGGTCTGAGGTGTGAATGCCACCTCCCCCCGGCCGAGCCCTTTATATACTGACTGCCAGAGGTGGGTGGAGCACCCAACACAGACTCTGTGGCCTCATTACCACAGCAATTTTCATTTTTAAAAGGCTCATCATTCTAAGGACAATTCTGTTCAGGTGTCATGCCTGGGCTTAGGCCCCAGCTAGTCACGAGAGTGTGACAAAACAGACATCCATAACCCACACATCGAACACGCATGTCCCTGGAATGTCATAACCCTACTGCAGACATTCGCTGCAGGGGGCGGGGGGCGCTGACACCCTGGCTCCCTCAGGGACACGGGCGTGGGCGCCGGGCGGCACTGCGGCCGCTGCGCCGCGGCAGCGATGGGGACGCGACAGCAGGGCGTCCGGCAGGGCGGCGTCAGGGTCCCCTGCACCGGCAGGCGGGGCCCGGGCAGGCGGGCCGCGGCCGAGGCGGCGGGGACCGGCTGGCGAAGGGCCCCTGCGTGGGTGCGAACCGCGCGCTGCCGCCATTGACCAGAACGCCGCTGCGGTTTCGCTCAGCGCAACAGAACCCGCTCTGTCTGAAAATCCTGGGAGCTTTCCAGTGGGACGCTGCCTTTGAAGCGTCTTGTCCACGTGCATCTTCAAAACCGTGTCCGTCCAAGCTCCACTGATTCCTCAGAGCACAGCCTAGGCCGCCGCCCACGCGAGAGGGACCCCGGGCGCTCCCTGCGGCCCGGACACGCCCCCCCCCCCCCCTCCCCTGCCGCGCCCGCGCCCGGCCCCCCCACCCCGCCCCCCGCGCTGTGCAGAGCGCTCGGGCAGCCCCTCCGCTTCCGTGGCCTGCGACCCTCTGCCCCCCGCGAGCGGCTGAAGGTCGATGATGCCGTCTCTGTTTTCTGTGGATCTAAAGAACTAGGCCTCACTGCTGAATGAGAGCCTATAGACTTCTTCTGCCAGTAAAACCTATTATCATGTTTTTGTATGGGATGTAATACAAGAAAAATTGTTATTTATATTTGCCTCTATCTTTTGAGACACACTTGCATTTACTAGTTCATTTGGTTCTCGCAAAAGCAACGTCCATCAAGAACCTGTGCCACCCGCGTTCGCGCCCGCTCTGCGGAGGAGGACACGGAGCCAGGCGTCCGCCTCGCCCGGACACGCGTCGGCTGGGGCTGGGGGCGATCTAGCCCCGCTCCCACTCCAGCGTGCAAGCGGGACAGAAGCCATGAATTATTTTTCCTTCAGGTTCCCTAACGCAAAACAGTCCCTTCCCCTGACTGAAATTACAGGGAACTTGGAGCTTCTGCCTCATGTGCCTGTCACGCGGGCTTCCTCTCCCTGCGGCTGCACCCTCGAGTCAAAGCTCGGTGTGAGCCTCAAGCGGACAGCGCAGGCGCTCTCAGGCCCGCGCGGTGACTGTCCCCAAGTGCCATCCCAGGGAATGACAGCACTCCCTAACCAGGAAGAGTAAAATCGTCCTAACACTCTGCACATTAACTCTAGAAACTACAGCCTTCGAGTAGAAATGGTCACTTTTCTAGACACTGCCAGTGTTAGTGGTTACGGGAAAAAAGTGCCATAGATGAGCAACTCCGATGCCAAAACCAAAGCCTCAAACCCCAGGTCGGCTTTTCGATTCTGCCTGGTCCACATCCCGCCACCGAAACACGTCCCGCGTGGGCTCCACGCCTGCACACTCTACCGCCCGCCCACGTCACGCGCTGCCCGCCTTCTCCGCGGCGCGGCCTCAGCCCGGCCGCGCCTACCTGCGTCCTCCCAGTCATCGTGTTCCTGGGCAGGGACGGAACAGTGCGCGTCAGCTTTGCAAGCGTTTCTGGGGACCCACGTCCCGCGGGCGCTGCTCCTGCGTGGAGACCGCCGAGTGGGACACGGGCGGCCAGAGCCCAGGGCGGAGCCCCGCGCTGCGGCGGCAGCTCCGGGGGGCGTGGAGCCCCCGCCTCTCCCCCTCTGCCCCTCCCGCCCCCACCGGTCCCTGCAGCCCGCCTCGCTGTCCCACGGCCCCCAAGGACACCGTGTGCATCAGGTTTCTCACACCTCCCGCCAAGGCCACTGGAAAATTTTCCAGCAATTCCTACAATTTGACAAGAAAGTAAAAAGGAGGACCAAATCGCCAGGAAATAAGGGACTCCCTGAAGCCCGCGTATGTGTTCTGGCAAACAGACAAATGTGTCGCTCACTTGGAGTCACAGCACGTCAGAGGCCGCAGCCATGGAACCTGCGCAGGACAGGTGCACACAGCGTCTGGCCGGGCGCGCGCCCACGCGCTCCACGGGAAGAGACTGACTTTATGCATTGCAATCCCGGGGGTTGTCCAAATAGTGTCCATATTAGTAAGTGTAATACGTAACATATAAAATTGTCATTTTTGTATGTTATATATGGTTAAGTGTCAGCGATTTCATATTGAGCAACCTAATAATAAATATCATCGCAAAAACCTATGGAGTTGTCACAATGATAGAGCTTTGCATACTCTGTTTATCTGCGAGTCTCAACCATCTTCACGTAGCATAATCCTAGCACTCAACCCTCGAATGCTGGGGTTCAGGGGAGTCAGGAATGTGCGCGCGCTCGCCGTCCGTACCCGGCGGAGCCTGTCCTGGAGCAGAGTCGGTGACCCGGCCGCAAGGCTCGCAACCCCTGTCTGTGTGGTTCTTGGACGTGTGAGCGTCCCGGCGACCTGCAGGGAACCGCGCCTTGTGAGGAAGAGTGAGGAAGAGTTCTTCGTACAGGAGAACTTGGGTGTCCGCTTAGGCTGTGCAGCCTTCTGGGCACCGCAGTGCTACCGCTTGTCTTCGCCAGTTTCCAAGAGGGAGACAGGCCCGCCCGCTCAGCAGGCCCTCGAGCGATGCCATTTCCTCACAGCAGGGATGAGGCGCCATCGGGACTTAGCTCTTGTTTACCTCAGGTGGCTCAGGGGACACTGGCTTCTTTGCTTGAAATCATAGCACCAACCGACAATGTGAAATGAGGACTTGCTCCACCCCGTTCCCTGCAAGGAAACACGTGTCTCACACGGCAAGAGGGAGGCGGGCGGTGGCCCTGCGCACCGACGAGCGGCTGGCTGGTGGTGGGCGCCCGGTCTGCCCGCGCCCGCGTGTGAGTGCTCGGCGCCGGACGAGCTCGAGCTACCAGTGTGGTCTAGCGGCTGGCTCACAAAACTGCTGGGAGCCTACGCCGTGCTTCCGCGCGTGGGTCATGTGGCTTTCGGGCTTACAACTTTAACCGATAGAGAATTTCTTCTGTGCGTCACGGGAAGCAGGTGGTTAATTGGCAAATTAACCACTCCCTTTTGCTGAATAAACTCTCAGATGAACGTGTAGTCCTCAGTGGCTGTCCCGAAGCCATCAGCCCCAGCGACTGCTGCTTCCGGCCTCAGAGCAACCTCGCCGCTGGGCTCTGGGGACAGGACTCCATCGCCAATCTTTGCTTTTCTCCTAGCCTGAGACGTCAGCCACCCCACCTTCTAGAATCAAACCGCGCCAAAGAAAGAGACCGTGAAACACAGAGAATTTTAAATGGCCCCATAGCCACGTTTGAAAAAGACAGAAAGAAGGCGAATTCATAATATGGCACATTTTATGTAACCTATACATGCAAAACACTATCATTTATATGGTAATCAGTATTTTTAAGTGAGGTAATATAGTTGTCACTCTTTTTTATACACTGCGTCTTTAAGACCTGGTGCGGATTCTGCTCGGGACGCGCCGCACCGCGCTCGCGGCTGCTGGTCGGCAGAGCAGCCGAGACCAGAGCCCCCGAGGACTTCTCTGCTTCTCTCCGGTGGGGTCACTCGCCGTGCGCAGCGTTTTCCAGCAGAAGCTGCCGCACCAGCACTGAGCCGCCAGCTCGCCTGCTTCCTCCCTCGGCGCCTCTGCCTTGGCCCCTGCACCCCTCCCCCCGCCACGGGACTGCCCTGCTCTCCGGTCACCTCCCTGTGGGTGCTGAGCCACAGCCCCTCCCCCGGGGACCTCGGTCCCTCACTCCTCCAGGGTGAGTGTCGTTTCGCTTTTTCTTTCCCTTCCAGACCCATCGGAGACTCAGTGAGATCCCCAAGCACAGGTCAGAACCGTGTGACCTGCGCCTGCGCGGGCGAGGGCCTGAGGATGTGAGAGATGAGGAATCGGCGGGCAAGACGTTACTTGTGGTTCAGGTACAAGGAAAAATGCTTGTTTTAAATCAAGGAAGAACCCCAAACTGAAGTAACATATTTTAGCCCATGTTTCAAGAGAGCTAAAATAAGGAAGGATTCACAATCAAGGACACAGAGATTTCTTAGGACCAAAAAAAAAATTTTATTGCAATAGCGATCTGCCCAATGGTAGGATGTTAGATTCATCCCCACCATCACAACAGAGATTCAGAGATTCGGGAAGTCAAGGGTCACATCCGGAAAGCAGCCAGATGATGCCACGGAGCCGCGGGGTGCAGTCGCCGTTCTAAGGGGGGCGGGCGCTGGAGGCCAAGACCTCTGGCGAGCGTGCGGTTTCTGAGCTACAGAAAGCTTCCGGTGCGGGGGTTGAGTCGGCAGTGTCTGCAGAGGCGTCATTTCAGAAGCGAAGGAGGTGTGGAGAGTGACCTTCTAGCAGCAAGAAGAGTAACACTTTCTGTAGCACAGTGGCCGGTAGCCCCAGCAGCCAGAGCCGTACCCACAGCCGTAGCCGGTTCCACAGCCCCAGCCGTAATAGCGGCCAAGTCCACAGCCGTAGCCGGATCTATAACCCCAGCCATAATAGGGGCCAAGTCCACAGCCGTAGCCGGATCTATAACCCCAGCCGTAACAGGGGCCAAATCCACAGCCGTAGCCGCCGCAGTTGCCGTAATAAGTGCCGCACATGCTGTCCAGAGAAGAGAACTCAGCCGGGTTGCAGGAAGGTGCTTCTGGAGTGTGCAGTGTCTGCTGCCTGCCGGGGACCTTTATATATGGTCAGTGATTGGCAAAGCACGGCATTCCTTCCCTGACTCAGCCAACAAATATTTAAACAGCTACAAATTATGTGCCCGTCGCTGTTGACAATCAAGACTGCTTTGCTTAAAAGCAGCCCATTATTTTGGAGACTGGTTTTATTTAAAGAGCATCATTTTATTTTGCTTTGTCAGAGTTGTCACAATAGACTTGTGTGCCCAAGAGTAAACCTAATAGCCAATTTCGAAATATCCTGTTATCAAGTATATACCTTATAGAACAAGGCTTGGGGGTTGAAGGCCACCGCCGCCCCCTTCCCTCCCTACTCTTTCCTGTAGCGCCCCCCTCTGCCCACAGGCGAGGAGGAGATGACTCTCCCCTTGTCCTAGATGCGTTGTACCTTCTCACCGGGCTCCGCCCACCCACCTTGGACTTCCACACCTCCCCTTCGTCCCACTCCGCTCCTGTCCCAAGACACAGCAACACCTGATGACTCAAAGCCAACGACACCCACTGGGACAAGGGCCACTTGGCGGATGGACCCCCGTTCCACATGCCAGTGCTGAGCCTTGAGCTCCCTCCCCCCACCAGGCAAAGGGAGGCCAGGCAGGAAGGGCCGCCCCCTTTCCTCTCCCCGCTTGTGTGGCAACGAGCGACTTCTCGTTGAAAAGCCATCCCCAGCCTAACCAATTTACGGGGCTGGAGGAGCAGAACACCTTAGTCAGACCAGGAGCCCACTGGGTTCCCGACGCGGACACCCTCAGAATTTTGCACGAGGAGCTACGGGCGCGTTCCTAGAGCTTAAAGCCCTTTTTCTCCTCTCCCGGCCCCACTGCGTGCCGCACACTGAGCGCGGGGCTGAAAGGGCCCGGGCAGCTCCCCGGTGTCCACAGCAAAGCCACCCTCGGCGCCCGGCGCCTCCGCGACCGAAAGGACACAGAAATCTACTTTGCCTCTCTTCATATAACCTTTTTGCTCTTTCCACTCAGCCTTCTCAAGGCGGCCTTCGCAGAAGCTCATGAGAGACACCGGTGTAGTCGCGCCGTGCGAGGCGGCTCAGCAGCCCCTGCAAAACGCCTCCGATAAACCCAAAGTACCTTGGGCGACCAAAGCCTGCATGAGAAAAACGTATTTTGCAATGAACTTCAACTTTCCATTCCTGTCGCTACATGGTGACCAACTCGTCCGCGGCCACCCTGCAGCAGGGGACCAGGGTTCACAGCCGCGATCAGAGCCCCACCGGCTGTCACCAGGCTGAGCGGTCCTCGCACTGAGCCGGGAGCCCTAGGTTAGCGGGACCTGATCAGAAAGACGCTCACTTCAAGCTCCTGACGTAGAACCTCCTAGGAAATGCAGTGTTGTCCTGCCTGGCCCCGCCCCCCGCCCAGCTCCTGCGCCCCCCCCCAGTGCCGCATTCCTGTGCCACCAGGTGGGGGGCGGGGAACAGGGTGAGGGGGTATTAACAGAGCGGAGAGATTCCCCCTCTGTCGCTCCCGTGAGCACTTGAATTCACATCCCATCACCATCCAGCGAGAACTTGGAGCCTGTGAGCATCCATCTAGGAAAACCTGTATCGGCTCAGAAAGGAAGACACATTTCCTTCCCGGCAGTGGGGGCGGGGGGGGGGAGGCAAGGCCAGGATCCCACGCCCTGTTACAACCGCCCCCCCCTTCCCCGTGTCCCAGGAAGCCGGCGACCTGCAGGCTCTGAGCCAAAGCCACCGAGAAGGGCCCCGTCCTGATGGCCTTGTCTCCAAGGTTTCCGCCCGGATCCCTGGACATGGATCCACCGACACGGCAACCACCTCCGCTCTGCGCACCCCCAGCCCCGCTCCGGGTGCCGCGGGTGACTCCGCCACCCGTGCCCGCTCACGGGTGCGCTGCCTGCGATCCGCCTGGGTGAAGCGGCTGAGTGCCTGCTCCTCCTCCCGAGGGTCAGTCCCGCGGGTACTGAAGGCGCAGGGGGCGCGGCTGCTCCGCCGGGGCAGCGCCTCGTGGGGGCTTCGCAGCAGAAGCTGCTCTCAGCAAATTTCTCCCTCCTCATTTTTCCACGTGGTAGTTTTACATTCTCCTCTACTATTTTTCAAATATCCACATTTTTTATAATGAAATGCTGATTTTTGTTTGAATTTACTGTAATAATTCTGTCGCCTAGGGGAGGTTACGCTGTGGTATACACATATATGCTCTAATTAAAAACTCTTTCGTGATGAAGAACCAGTACCCTTCAGAAAACAAACTCCTCTCCTCGCGGCCTTTGTAGGCCCGCCTGAGGCACTCTGTACACTAATTCACTACCGAAAACACGATGTCAGCATGGCTCCGCTGGACATAGCCTTGTGCGTAGTTTCAAGTTCAGTAATTGGAGGAAGACTTTGTTGTATTTCCAAAGCACATCAGTTGGGGACATTAGCTACAAAGCATGTAAAAAATCAATGTGATTTTCTTGAAATTCCAGAAGAGCCAAAAGACCGGTCCACAGTAGAAGTATATTTTATTTTTCAGATATGTCTGTTTTGAAAGCTTGATGAAGGATCACCACAGAGTAAGAGATTTCAGTCAAAGATTTATTCAACAGTAACTGCGCACCATCCATGTGAAATGTGCTCGAGAATCCCCATCACTTGCCATGTACCTCAAGGTTCCCTGATGGTATCGTATTTTCTCCAACCCCCAATCCCCCCAGAACTCACCTAGTCTAAACGCCAGCGGAGCAATGCGGCCGCCTCCCGCAGCCCACCCCGCGCGGGTGAAGCGCCTTCGCGCGCGGTGCCTCCGACCTCTCCGCCTCCGCGGCAGCGTCTGCAGAATCGGGCAGAGGCGCGGGGGACTGAGCGGCCCGCCCGGCGTCGCAGGTGCCCGAGCTGGCGGGCCCCGCGCGCCCGCTGCTCCCGGCCTGCCTCCCTCCCCCAGTGCTGACGGGGCACTGCCCGCTGGGCGCCTGCTGCGGGCGGGGACCGAGGGCCTCGGGCTCCGCGCCAGCCCCCCCTCCGGCCCCCCCCCTGAGGACGGGATCCTGACTCCCACAGCCATAAACAGCCGCCCTGTCTTTTACAGCCCCTATAACACGTCCCTATGAAAACGATGACCTCATTCTCTTTTTAATCTTATTATATTGCTGCCGCATGAGATCATGAATTCACTGAGAACTGGGCCCCTCTGCACAGAGATAATGGCAGGTTAGACAGACAGACACATTTACCGCAGCTACCGCAGCGCAAGCTTTTCCTCTTTCTCTCGCCTCTACATCGGATAATGACGCCTTTCCTGCTACTGAGCACCCAGGAGGCTGGATTTCATTTGAAGAAAGAGTGAGGGGAAGTCACACCTGCACCATATTCTTCCCTCTTTTTCTACCAGACTTTGCAGCATGAAAAGCTGCCGCTCCCTTTGTGCCCCTCCCTGCTCTCGCTATAAATGGCGGGGACCGCAAATGAGGGCGGGGGGCTGACCCCCTCTCCTGCCTCCGCAGGTGCCAGCATCGTCTTCCCGGCCGGGCAGGCTCCCCACTTCGGTTCCCCCCGAGAAGCCGGCAGCCTTTCGGGGCGGTGACGCGCGGCCGCCTGGGCCCTGCAGTCCGGCGCGGCGGTGCCGCCGGCCCCTGCGCTTCGCGGCTTCTGCCCCGTGACCCCCGCCGCAGAGCCGGCGGGACGCCCGCGGCGGCCGGGGTCGGCCAGCCGTCCCCCATTCCGAAGCCGTTCTTCCTGCTGCTGTCGTCCTGCGGTGTCCCCGTCGCCTCTGGGACCCAGAAGCAAACGGCACCGTCTCGCCACAGGAGGCTTTACGTGCATCTCGACCACCCACGCCAGGCCTCTCCTCGCACGTCTGCTGTTAAAAGAACCGTTCCCACCCGGCTTCTGGCCTTGGACGCCTCCCTGTCCTCCCCCGTCGTGTCCAGAATTTGGGGACACGCCCTCCGGGGGGCGCGGAGTCCGCCCCACCTGCGCCGCCCCGGGCCCCTGCCGCGCGCTCCCCTCCCGGACGCCCCTCGGGAGCCCCGCCTTCCACGCCGCCCTTCTCCCTTCTGGTCTCCTCGCACGTGAAATACGCGAGTGTGCATGTGCTGCTTTGTATTTGAGAAAAGTGTGAGGAAACCCGTGGAGGCCCAGGGAAACACAAAGACATTTTGAAAAGGTTAAAAACGGACGTGGCAAAGCTGGGAGGCACGGAGGGCGTCCGGGCGGAGGGAGGACACAGGCGGATCGACTCGAAGGCGCGTCTCATGGGGAAACGGACGTGCCCGGCGGGGACGCCGGTGCCCACGCCCCGGCCCCGGCCCGCGGGGCAGCCAGGAGGGGAAGCGCGCCGTCAGGGGACAGTCGGAACCGCCCCTCCCGCCCGCCGCTGCCAGCGGACCCGGAGCCCAGCAAAGGCCAGCAGGCGCGGGGGGGACGCAGCCCACGGGGGCTGCCGGGGCTGGTTTCTTCCTCCGCTTCAGCAGCCGGGGATGCTCCACCGAGTCTCCAGCAGCCAGAGCGCGAGCGGCCCTGCGCCCGAGGCCGCGATGCCGTGGTCGGCCGCGCCATCGCCGGAGCGCCACCCGCCACAGCCGTTCTTGGGAGCGCGCGCCCGGGCCCCCGCGGCCGCGGCCGGGCCGCCTCCCGTCCTCCAAGGAACGCACGCGCCCAGAGCGGCTCTGGAGGCTTGGGAGTGCGCGTGCCAGCGAGCGGAAGGCGTGCGCGCGGGTGCGGCCCCGCGAGTCTGCACGCTGCCCCCCACCCCGCCAGACCGTCCGTGCAGCCGGGGCCGGGCCCGCCTGCTCAGACCCCGGGCAGCGGGCAGCGGGCAGCGGGCGGCGGCTCAGCTCGCGTCCGCAGGCGCTGCTCCGCCGCCCGAGGGAGCCTCCTTCATTGGCTGCCCTCCCGGGCTTCTCTCTAGTTAATAGCGAGCCCGGAATAAAATGACTTCTTTTTCATCACCCAGTTCTAATAA